TGGGACTTGTCAATTTCTGTAAAGCTTCGGAACAGAACCAGTGGGCCACTTTGGTCACAGGAATTTACAGGTCTTGACAAGGCAGCTTGCAGCTACCATTTCATGCTAACATTTCGTGCTCCCACCAAGCCGAACTGCGCCCTAATTTCTCCTGAAAGTAACTTGACCACGATCGCAGCTAGCGCAGGCATCTTCTACTAGAACGACTCTCTTCTCCTGACTGCTCCCGCATCTCGTGAAAGATTGGGTGGCGGAGGGAGGGGGTATTACTACTGCTGAACTCTCACATCTTTCATGCCACGTTTATTCATGTTTTCATTGTTCACTTCACGTGGTCTCCGGTGTATAATAGTCCTTTAGCCCTCAAGGGGCAATCAAAAGGCCAACAAAGAGATTAACCCTTCAGCATTTTATTCTTGCCATTTCCACAATTGATCCTTATTCGCTGGTTCCCATGTGATCCCTAATCCTTACCATTAGCGTAAAGGGCTACCCACCGCAGCCACAAGCATGTGCTGAACTTTTTCACTGTTGAGCAGAGAACGAATTCAGCGCTAACTTTCGGCACTTGTAACCTTCCCCAATTGTAGGCTCTACAAAGTCCGCATTGTCATCTTACTCGAATTACGCACATTTCGGAAGGCCAATTCCATGATGGCGAGGTATGAAGCCCAGTAAGTTTAGATGCCATACATGAGCTGTAAGTAACAAGTTGCCCCTCGCAACAGAAAATATAGGAGTGGCCCAAAAAGTCCTGAATGTGGCACTCCTTTCTATGGATGATTTCGATGTCATGGCAAAGAAACGTTGTACTTTCCGACGAGAGACCAGACAGTGAGTGACGAGATAGTGAGAGACGCCCGAGACGACAGACACTACCAGATCTGCCAGTAGAGATCTTTCCACGTCCGCTTCGAAATATTGAGCATTTCAAACTCTGCAATATGCCACTAGCAGAACATTTCCTTGGCTACATATTTCCGGTCGAACTTTGGCGACGGAGGGGGAGAGAGAGGGGCATTCTGTACTTCTGCTACTTCCCACCACTGTGTCAAGCCATCAAGTGGAGACCTGTGGAATCTTGTGAATTCACGAAATGATGGCACCCAAAGTTTGTACTTGTCACTTATCGTAAAGAGTACCTGTCAAACTCGTAAAGCCGTGGAATACCATACAAATATCATTTACCATGGCGGTTCGACAGGCTTGCTCTGCCTTCACAAGAGTTCACATGTTTCCCAGAGTGTTACTGGTATACCGGAACTAGTAACACAGCGAAAGAGCAAAAGCCCCCCTCCTCTCCTCCCACCTTCCCCGCCACCGTCTCCGGACTGCGACCACTTCCGCGTTGAAACAGTCAGGCCTTGCCACTTCCCACATCTAACAGTCTCAGCTCCACGATTATGGATTAGCCTACATTAACCACGGAACGTGCCCTGGAGGGAAAACGAATGTTTCGGTCCGGTTTTTTGGATGGGTATTACCTTTCTGGTCACGATGGACGATCGCTCTATTCGCGGTCAAGCAAGAAGCGTGAAAGTTTGCACGTGCCCGGATAGCTCTCCATTATGTGTTTACGGATGACGATTTCTCTTAAAAAAGGTATTGAATGCCAGAAACATATTTAATCTGAAGTGTTTCAATAATTCTCGTCCCTTATGTATGTTGTCTTCTCTTTGATGCTAAAATCTTTTGTCATTTAATCGGTAACGTTATTTACACTGGCAACTCCGCGTATATTGTGTTTGAATGGGAGTGGATATTGCTATTCCTAATTTGTTCTCGCCTCCTGCGTATCCTCATAGTCTCCGTGCCTCTTCCCGTAATGGCGTGATTTGTCGCGCGCGATGGCGTCATTTGGTTTTCTTATAGAGTCTAATTTGACCCCACGTGACAACGCTGTACTTTGGAAATGTTGCCACAAACGCTTTATAAGGGCGGAGAAACTGTTATATTGTCCATTATGCAATCATGCCTACACTGGCTAGCATAACACGACAGTTGGGCTTATCCCATCTGATTTCTCAAGCTGCAGATGGCATTCCACCCAGACGGTGATCGGACTGCTCCGGATCATCTATGTCATAACCCGCTATTGCCAGCTGCTAGTAATCGAATAAATGTTGCGATAAAAATTATTTGCCCTAGCGACACGTAGTCCGCTAAAGAGGCGGCCTTTCGTTGCGTCCCAGTCGCAACGGCAAGGCAAACTTGTCAAGGTTCTGTAGAAGTCACAAGTGACCAGTGCTTTAGCGGCAGTTCACAAGATGAGCACACCCGCCCCCCCCTCTCCCCTCCCTCCGGAACAAACTGGCCCGTTTTTGGAGAAGTCACCAAAATGTGCACCCTCCACCTTTCTGCAATGGTTTGTAGAAGTAATGTGTCATACAGATGCAGTTACTATTTTTCGGGAAGTGGTCGATTCAGCTTTCGTCGAACTCCACCCAACCATCCTGCCCCCCCCTCACTCGAAATAATCCGATCCCATTTTCGAGATTATTGTAAACAGTCGTAATAACTACCGTTTCGAGCAAAATCCGCCCTTTCTTTTATCTGATTACAGGGTTTCTTATCCCTATCAGCTTATCTCTCCGATCATCTTTTCGCGTAATCAAGAGC